TGTGTGTGTGTGTGTGTGTGTGTCTGCTGGGGGCCTGCCCCCAGCCACACCCTGGAGGCTTGGAGCAGGCGCCCCTCTCTGTTGATCTCTCAGGCTCCTGGCCTCCACTGCATGTTGTACTCTCCCTTGAGCTGTGGCCAGGGTGGGGCGCCCTTTCCTACTGTGGGATCGCCAGGGCGACCCAGGGACAGGCGCACAGGGGGGCTGGCTGCTGGCCGCCCTATCCTGCTGTGGGATTGCATCGGTGATTTCATGGTCAGGCAGGTGCACACGGGGGCTGGCTGCAGGCCGCCCTTTCCTGCTCTGGGATCGCCGCGGTGACCCAGGGGCAGGCACACACAGGGGCTGGCTGCAGGCCGCCCTTTCCTGCTGTGGGATCTCCGGTTGCTCATCCCTGGCAGGAGCGGCCAGGGAAGAGGTGGGTGCCCGCCTCTTCCCTGCCCCCCTCTGGCTTCTCCAATCACCGGCAGGGGGGTGGGCAAAGGCGGCCGGTTCTCCGATCCAGGGCCAGGGGCAGTGCCTCCTGGCTCTTGCCTGCTGCCTGTGTTTCCAATCACCATCCTTCCCCTATGGCCTCCCATCATTGTGCCTATGTATGCAAATTAACCGCCATCTTTGTTGACAGTTAATTTGCATATCGCCCTGATTAGCCCATGGGAAAGGTAGTGAAGTTACGGTTAATTACCATGTTTGTCTATTATTAGATAGGATTATTGCCTTTCAAGAGTTCTATGTAGAAATTAGAAAGCTACAAGTTCTTTATCACATACATCATTTGCAAATATTTCTTCCAGTCAGGGGCTTGTATTTTCATTTCCTTAACAGTGTCTTTCAGTAAGGAGACTTTCTCAAAGTCCAATATATTAAGTTTTTTATTGTGCATTTCATGTCACCTCTAAGAAATGTTTGCTGAACCCAAGGTAAACATATTTTCTCCTGTGTTTTCCTCCTAAGTTTTGAGGTTGAGAGACTGAATATACAAAGGGACACTGGCCAGATAAGTAAACACAGAACTCTGACCCACAACCTCTGTAACAAATTAGCTGGAAGCCAAACCACAACCCCTGTGGCAACTGGCTCAAAGTGGCCAGGACTTGGTCAGTAACTGCCCGCTTCCCTAATTTAGAACCAACCAAAGAAAGAAAGAAATAGGCTTCCAAACCAGTCACATAAGATGCCCTGCGTTTACTGAGTCCACATTCAGCTTCCCTAGAACAACAACCTCAAAACAGAGCACATGGAAGGAAGCATGGAACAGAATTTGGAATCTCGAGGAAAGGCAGGGGAAACTGCTCACCTGCCTGCCTGATCACTCCTAACTGCTTGCCTACCTGCCTGATCGCCCCTAACCGCTCCCTGGGGGGCAGGGCCAGCCAGGGCAAGGGGCTGTGGTAGTTCTGGTCTCTGGTCATTCCACCATTTTGGTCACTGGGCTTTTATTATATAAGATGTCTCCCAATAAATTTGATAAAATCTAAGTAACAAAAGAAACTGATGAACAGAGTGGATCCAGAAACATGGAAGCGTGGAACAGAGATCAGAATCTCAGAGGGAAGGTGGGGGAGGGTGGGTGAGTGGAAGGTAATTAACCAAGGACTTTATATGCATATATACGTGGCCCATGGACACAGACAAAGGGGCGGGAGGTGGGGCAGGGGTGGGCTGCAGGGGGTCAATGGGGGAAAAAATTCTTCAACAATAAAGAGTTATTTTAAAACACACACACAAAAGCCAACAAGCAAAGACAGAGCATTCCTGAGCCTTCCCTTTTTTAACTATACCGTAAAGCTTTCCCATTCCTCTGCCACCGCAAGTGATGGTGGCTCTTTTCCTAAACACAGTGAGCAATGAATTAATAGACTCTGCATGGTCTCCTTTGGGCAGTCTTCATTTATTTCCACAGGGTTTTAGGTTTTGCATTTTGGTCTAAGACATCTTTGAGTACTTTTGTAAGTGGTGCAAAATATGAATTGAAGTTCATTCCTTTTGTAGATGGATATCCAATTGTTCTAGTCCTACTTGTTGAAACAATTATATTTTCTCCACTTTGCACCTTTGTTGTTTATATATTTGATGCCTAATTTTATCCCATGGATGTATTTTTCATCTTTATACCAATTCTATAATATCTTGGTTACTGTAATTGTATAAAAAGGCTTAAAATCAGTTAATGTCAGTACTCTAATTTTAAAAGAGATATGTTTAAAAAGTATATATTTATTATATAATCTTTTTATATGTCCATTGACCATCTATATGCTCTCTTTGGACAATTGCCCTCTGCCCATTTTTTAATTGGGTTGTTTGTTGTTGTTTTTTGATATTGAATTGTAGTAATTTATATATATATATATATAAATTTACCAATAAATATATAATTTATTCATGTAGTTATCATTTCCAATGTTCTCCACTGCTTTGTGCATATGCGTTTTCCGACTGGTACCATTTTCCTCCTGCCTAAAGACTTTATTTTATGTTTTTTGTATTGCAGTTCTACTGCTAATGAATTATTTCACCTTCATTTTTGCATTAAATTTTAAAAATTCAGGTGAAATTTGTATAACATTAAATTAACCATTTTAAAGTGAACAAGTCAGCAGCATTTAGTACATTCACCATGATATGCAACCACCACTCCTGTCAAGCTTCAAAACATTTTCATCACTCCCAAATAAAATCCCATGAAGCAGTTCCTCCCTATTCCTCATTTCCCCTAGCCTCTGGCAACCACCAATCTTCTTTCTGATTCAATGATTTTATCGATTTTGAGTATTTCTCATCAAAGGAATTATATGTGACTGTCTTAGTTTGGGTTACTGTAATAAAAGTATCATAAATAGAGCGGCTTAAACAACACACATTTATTTATCACAGCTGTGGAGGCTGGGAAGTCCAAGATCAAGGTGCCAGCAGATCCTGTGTCTGGTGAGAGCTCTCTTCCTGGTTTGCAGACAGCTGCCTTCTTCTTGTATCCTCCTATGGTGAAGAGAGCAGAGAGAGAAATAAGCTCTCTGGTGTCTCTTCTTTATAAGGGTACTACTCCCATCACAAGGGCTCCACTCTCATGACCTAATTACTCCCTACAAGCCCCACATCCTAATACCATCCCAGTGGAGGTTAGGGAGGTTTCAACATATGAGTTCTGTGGGACATAAACATACAGTCCATAAAGTGACCTTTTGTGTCAGGCTCTTTCACTTGGTATAGTATTCATCCATGTTGAAGCAAGTATCAATACTTTATTCCTTTTTGTGGCTGAAGGATATTCTATTGTGTGAATAGAGCCCAGTTTGTTTATCCACGCGTCTGTTGATAGACATTTGAGTTGTTTCCACCTTTTGGCTATTGTGAACAGTGCTGCTATGAACATTCATGACTTATTTGAGTTTCAAGGATTCATTTGATTGCCCGTTTTCAATTCTGTGTAGGATATACTTAGGAGTGGAATTGCTGGATCATATGGGAATTCTATGTTTAGCTTTTTGAACAACTTTCAAACTATATCCCACAATGGCTGCAATGTTTTGTATTCCTACCAGCAATGTATGTGGATTCCAATTTCTGTACATCAAGCATGTCAAACTTGCAGCCAGCATGTGGCCCGCCGGCTGCGAGTTTGACATATTTATTCTACATCCTCACCAACACTTGTTTTTGTTTTTTTACTACTACTATTATTATTACTAGTGGCCCGGTGCATGAAATTCATGCAGGGGGTGGAGGGTGTCTCAGCCTGGCCTTTATCCTCTCCAATCTGGGACCCCTCAGGGGATGTCTGATTGCTCTCTTGCATTCTGGGACCACTGGCTCCTAACAGCTCACCTGCCTGCCTGCCTGATTGCCCTTAACCACTCTGCCTGCCAGCTCGCTCACCCCCAACTGCCCCCATCGCCAGCCTGCTTGCCCCCAACTGCCCCGCCCCACAAGCCTGATCACCCCCAACTGTTCTCCCCTCCTGGCCTGATCACCCCTAACTGCCTCTGCCTTGACCCCACCAGCATGGCTTTGTCCAGAAGGACGTCCAGAAGGTCTCCTGGAAGGTCTCCCGGTCCAATTAGCATATTACCCTTTTATTAGTATAGATTACTACTACCCAAGTAGATGTGAAGCGATGTCTCATTATCCTTTTTAAAAAATATGTTTTTATTGATTTTAGAGAGATAGAGGAAGGAAGAGGGAGAGAGAGATAGAAACATTGATGATGAGAGAGAAACATCAACATCGATCAGCTGCCTGCACACTCCCTACTGGGAATTGAACCCACAGCCTGGGCATGTGCCCTGACTGGGAATCGAACCGGTGACCAAGTACCAAGAATAACAATAAATATCGAAGACATATTTTGACCATGAAATCTTTTCAGTTGCATTGCAGCTCTTATCTATGTGTATTTTTACAACGCTTCCTGCTTTCTGCAGGTGCCTTGAGAGATGTTGTCATTTAGAGAACTTGGCAGAAACAGTTACTAAAATCATAGCACAAAAGTAGCCGCTTGATCAATTCTGTGGTGGCCATGGGCTCCCAGCAGACTTAGTTCCTCGACCTGTTGTATACCCTTCATGTATGAGTCTGGCCTCAAGCTCAGTGGAAATAAATTACATAATCCACTTTAGAAGAGTGCCCTTAAACTGTCAATTCCCTACTGCCCCTATTTGTATCCTGTTCTAATGGTTCTATCTTCCTGTTTTTTAGGAGAACATTTCAGGGTAAGAATAGGAAAAGTGCTGAGAAGATGAATCCCAAGACTGATTTGGAAACAAACTTTGCTGAGTGTGTTTTAAATGTAGGAAAAGTCATCCTTGGGGAGAAGCAAAGGAATGAAATGGACCCTCACCTGCAGAAAGAACAGTATCTAAGCATCCTGCATGCAATATGTGCTCTGCTGAATTCTGGTGGAGGAGTGATCAAGATTGAGATTGCGAATGAAGACTACGATTATAGGAGCCATGGAGTAGGATTGAAATGGCGTTCAATGTTCAATGGCTATTTAGATGAGATGCAACAGGAAGACCAAAACCTCTTTTTCATTTTTGTGAAATCGTGGAATGCAAAGGCCTCTGGGGTACGGCTTGCTACTTTGTCCTCCAATTTGTACCAGAGACATAAAACATCTACTAAGGAGATGACGTCTGAGGAAGCACTGGCATTCCTCAAAGGGGAGACTCGGCCTCTTAGCAATACTCATGCTTCCAATTTAAGCCCACAGAATATTCAGGATTGTGTACAAAGCGAAGATGACATAAAGGCCTCCGCTGATGCATTATTTGCTAGAGATGACCTCCAGTACTTGGAAGAGCTCAGTTTTACTCAGTCCACTCATGTTGAATTTAAAATGTTCTCAGAAGAGGAACTGCAACACTTTGAGAAGAATCTCTCCAGATGTGTGTCTGCATTTGCAAACACCGAAGGAGGGTACATATTTTTTGGGGTGAATGAAAAGACCCGTCAAGTTGTTGGATATGAAAAAAAGAAAACAGATCTCACCACCATCAGGAACTCCATTGGTACCTGTATTAGGAAGCTACCTGTCCATCATTTCTGTACCCAGAGGTGTGAGATAAAATATGCCATCAAATTCCTTGAAGTAAAAAATCAGCGGGCCCTCCATGGATATGTCTATGCAGTCAAGGTAGAGCCATTCTGCTGTGCAGTGTTTGCCAAAGAGCCTAGTGCCTGGCAGGTGAAGGACAACCGGGTGGTACGGCTGGCCACAAAGGAATGGGCAACTCGGATGATAGAAGCCGACCCAGGTCAGGGAGCAGAATCCACAATAACTGTCATGTTAGGTGGGGGGTTGGGAGGGAGGAGAGGGAGGAATTGCTTTGAAATTGTGGGAAAGAGAGGTATTCTCTGAGTTGCAGATAGCTGATTTATTAATTCCTATAGATGCAGTTGGTGGGCACTGCCCTTCTTTCCCTCTGCCCATCTTAAATATCCTGAGTGCACAGATGCCCTGGGCTAGTTGACCCACCAGACCAGGGGTCCTCAAACTACGGCCCGCGGGCCACATGCAAATACAAATACTGTATTTGTTCCCGTTTTGTTTTTTTACTTCAAAATAAGATTATGTGCAGTGTGCATAGGAATTTGTTCATAGTTGTTTTTTTTAAAACTATAGTCTGGCCCTCCAACGGTCTGAGGGACAGTGAACTGGCCCCTGTTTAAAAAGTTTGAGGACCCCTGCAATAGACGGTGGTACAGGGGGCTGTTTGACCTAGTCATTTCTATCTTCATTTCCTTTCTTATGTTCACATTCAAGTCTCTTCTTTTCCTTTCTGATCGTAAACTCACATTTGATTATTCAGGAAATTCCTTTTCACATGTCCTCTTTAATTTATTGCCACTTCCTTCCCGTTATGGATGGTTCCCTGGATTAAATGTTCTGCCTTTCTTATTGCCCCACTTCTATTTTTGAGCTAAAAGATGACCAAACTGCCCTGGCCCCTATGGTTCAGTTAGTTGGAACATCGTGTTGTACACTGAAAGGTTGCAAGTTCGAATCCCCATCAGGGCACATACCCAAGTTGTGGGTTTGATCCCCTTGTGGGAGGCAACGATCAATGCTTCACTCTCACATCAATGTTTCTTTCTCTCCTTCTCTTTCTCTCTCTCCCTCCCTCTATCCCTCCCCTCTCCCAACAATAAAAAGCATGTCTTTGGGTGAGGATTAAAGACAATTAAAAGATGACCAAGACATGGCTGTCCTTCTCCTTTTCTACTTTTCCTTTTTGAGAGCCAATATGTGATATTCAATAGTCCCCTTGCCACCCCAAGATATCAGTAGGTTTTTCTGAGCTGACTTCTGATGTAAATCAAGTATCTGTGGGCCAAGACTTTGAGTTCTAAGACTAAGTGAAAGGCTCAGCAACACAGCGCAACTCTATAAGTTGGAGTTCAGCCTTTTTGCATATTAAACCCTTGGTTTTTGTTTCCTAAGATCTTTCCAGACTTTCTGACATGGTCCTTCAGCTGAGTGTGTCAGCTACCACACCCCAAAGCAGCAGTGTGTGCACTCATAAGAATTTGGAATGTCTGGAAGAACTGCAAAAACGCCACTTTCCAGGTAATTCATTATCAGTGGTTGCTTTGGAACAGGTTGGTTGTGCATCCATATTGAAAAAAAATAGAATTGGACTCTTGTTTTATGCTATAGAAAAAAATCAATTCCAGAAGATTTAGGGAAATAAATGTCAGAAACAAACCTTTCAAACTCTTATTAGAAAATGTACATGAACAATTTAGTGTTGTTCAGATAAGAAAGAATTTCTTAAACCAGACACAAAAGAATTAAACTTAAACAAAAAGAATGATAAATTTTGCTATATTAAAATTAAGATGCCCTAACTGGTTTGGCTCACTGGATAGAGCGTCAGCCTGCGGACTCAAGGGTCCCAGGTTCGATTCCGGTCAAGGGCATGTACCTTGGTTGTGGGCACATCCCCAGTAGGGAGTGTGCTGGAGGCAGCTGATCGATGTTTCTCTCTCATCGATGTTTCTAACTCTCTATCCCTCTTCCTTCCTCTCTGTAAAAAATCAATAAAATGTATTTTAAAAAAAACCATGCAGTGTAGCACCCATGGAGAACCTTTTTTAAAAAAAAATTTAAGAACTTATGCTCCTCAAAAGAGTGAAAAGATTTATCTACAATCTTAAAAGACATTTACAATCCATGTAGCTGACAAAGAATTGGTATCAAGAATATAGAAAGAACTTACATAATTTTTCAAAAGAACAAACAAGCCAATAGAAAAATGGGAAATAGTTATAAAGATGAATTTCTCAGAAAAGAAGACACATATGCCCAATACAGTTATGAAGAGATGCTCAACACATAGCAGGTATTGGAGAAGTTGTAGGTAATCAGGATCTTTTTTACATTGCTGCTTGGAATTTAAGTTGACCGAAACCCTTTGGAAAGCAAATTTGATATTACCTTGTATAATTGGTTATTTGCATACTCTATCATTCAGCAATTCTTTCTAGTTTCTAAAGAAAAATGTGTGCATACACATCAGTAAATACGTATAATTGGAGATTTACCAATATCTCATAGTGTTCATAAGTTCACTGTTTGCAATAGCACCAAATAGGAAACAACCAAATTATCTATTGTCACAATATGTATAAATATACTGTACTGTATTCACATAATGGAATATTATTATTCAGTAGCAAAATGAATACACTACAGCTGTATGCAAGCACAGGGCTAAATCTGAGTAATGTACATGTACATCTTGTCATGAGTTAACTTACAGATTTACCCAGTTCTTTTACTGATTATACTAGAGGCCCAGTGCACAAAAATTCATGCACTAGGGGGAGGGGGGGGGGGTCCCTCAGCCTGGCCTGTGCCCTCTCGCAATCTAGGACCCCTTGGGGGAGTCCACCTGCTGGCTTAGGCCCACTCCCTGGAGGATTGGGCCTAAGTTGGCAGTCAGACATCCCTCTGGCAGCCTGGGAGCCCTCGGGGGATGTCCAACTAATGGCTAAGGCCCACTCCCCACAGGGAGCAAGCCTAAGCCGTTAATTGGACATCCTTAGCGCTGCCTTGGAGGCGGGAGAGGCTCCCACCGCCACCGCTGCTGCACTGGCCAGCCATGAGCTGGCTTCTGGCCGAGTGGAGCCCCCCCTGTTGAAGCGCACTGACCACCAGGGGCAGCTCCTGCGCTGAGCATCTGCCCCCTGGTGGTCAGTGCACATTATAGTGACCGGTTGTTCCTGGTCGTTCTGCAGTTAGGGTCAGTTTGTATATTATCCTTTTATTAGCCTATCTAATAAAAGTGTACCATGCAAATTAACCATCACTCAGACACATAGATGGCGGCACCCATAGCCACAAGATGGTGGTGCCCAGTCCTCTCAGCCCCACTGGAGTCCTCCAGTCCTGGGGGCAGCTGCTGAGAGCAGGGCCTGCTTGGCCATCGCCGTGGCGATGAGGAGTGGCCAAGCTGGCCCACAGACCATGCACAGCAGGGCCCACTTGGCCGTCACCTGCGGTGACCTGGGAGCGGCCAAGCGGGCCCTGCAGACAGCAGAGAACCACTGGGAGCGGGCCTAAGCCATCAGCAGGACATACCCTGAGGGCTCCCGGATTGGAGAGGGTGCATGTCGGGCTGAGGGACACCCCCAGCGGCCCCCCCACCACGAATTTCATGCACTGGGCCTCTAGTCTATATATATAAAAGGTAATATGCAAAGTGTCCCCGCAGGAGTTTGACTGGGAGACCGGGAGTTCTATCGCTTGCTATGACATGCGCTGACCACCATGGGGTGGCATGGAACGAAGGAAGGCCCTGATTAGCCCTGATCACCAGCCAGGCCTAGGGACCCTACCCGTGCACAAATTTCGTGCACCGGGCTCTAGTATAAGATAATATCTTATAGTATTCCTCAACACTGATGTTATTAAGTTTTAGCTGTTTTTATTGTGAAATATACTATATATACAGAAAATACATAGAACAGCCTTATTATTTAATAAATAATTAAACAGTGAAACCTATGTAACCACCACCAAGGTCAAAAAATAGAACTTTGCCCTAACTGGTTTGACTCAGTGGATAGAGCGTCGGCCTGCGGACTGAAGGGTCCCAGGTTCGATTCTGGTCAAGGGCATGTCCTTGGTTGTAGGCACGTCCCCAGTGGGGAGTGTGCAGGAGGCGGCTGATCGATGTTTCTCTCTCATCGATATTTCTAACTCTCTATCCTTCTCCCTTCCTCTCTGTGAGAAACTCAGAAAATATATTTTAAAAAAATAGAACTTTGAAAACACTCCTGCTATCACGTCTTTAAACTTACAAGCTTAGGTGAACATTGCCAAATTGTAATTCAAAACATACCAGAATACACTTTCCCCAAATGATATTATCATGGCATTGTTCTTCTAGAAGAAGCTTAGTGTCATTTTGTTCCACAAAAAAGAAAAGGATAAAATGATATTATTTTGATGGCAGTTACATAAAATTGATAAATTAATTTAGGAAGAACTATCATTTTTACAACAGTACATTTTCTCTTAGTTGATCATGGAATGTTTGGACATTTATTCCAGCTTTCTTTGACCATATTTTATCAAATTTAAGAAAATAATATTGCATTATTATTTTATTTATCACTAAAAATAAAGTCTTGTCCATTAAACTATAGGATATATCTTAATTTAAGAGATATTAAGCCCAGTCCAGGTAGCTCAGTAGTTAGAGCATTGTCCTGATACGCCAAGATTGTGGATTCAATCCCTGGTCGAACCACATACAAGAATCAACCAATGAATGCATAAATAAGTAGAACAGCAAGTCCCCCCCCCCTCTCTCTCAAATCAATAAAAAATTTTCTTTGAGAATAAAAGATATTAAAGTACATTTATAATTAGTGAAATATGGCATGTCTTTTAATAGTTTCAAAGTTTTATCCATATTGTTACCATATATGTTAAATTTTATTCCTAGAATGAGATCTTTATATGAAAATAATTTCTGATTGTGAATTGCTGGCATGTAGGAAAGCTCATAGTTTTAAATTATGCCATTTCCAAACATTTTACATAATACTTTTATTAATTAAAAAGCAAAAGTAATTTTGAACTAACTTTTTTTATATTTATGTACACTATTTCTTTTACTTATTTCAGTTCATTGGCCAATAATTCCAGAATAATGTTAAATGGAAGTAGTAGTAGGAAGTACCTTTAGTATAGAAAATAACGCTAGTAATTCTGAGTCCAGACAAACTTTACTGGTGTGTCCAATTGCTTGCTAGACAGCTTGATGTTTAACAGGTATCCCAAGCTGAGCATTTCCAAAATCAATCTCCCACTCTGACAATCTTCTATTTCCTCTCTATACTCCGCATATTATTCTGTATTAAGTATTCTTTTCAAATTTTCTCTATCAATTGGAGAATTCATCCTCCACCCAGCCAAGCACAGAAATCTGAATTCATCCTTGTCTCCTCCCCTTATGTAGAATTAAAAAATCAAATTGTGTGTGTGTGTGTGTGTGTGTGTGTGTGTGTGTGTGTGTGTTTCTGAGAAGAGGATTCATAGTTTTGGTTAGATTCCAAATTTGGGCTCCTGACCCCAAAAGGTTTTATATGCATATAGGAAAAGCCAAACTTTAAAAAAAAAACCGCTTTAAAGAATTAATTTTTTTAAATTACAAATGTGAAATGGACTTTTCTTTGTAAACAGATTAAGGGTTTTTAAATATGTATAATTTGTGTGCCCACCACAGTCAAGATACAGAACAATTCAATCACCAAAAAGTGGCTCCTGCCCTGGCCAGTGTGCTCAGTGGTTAGAATGTTGGGCTTGTGCACTGAAGGGTTATGGTTTTGATTTCCAGTCAAGGGCAAGTACCTGGGTTGCAGGTGCGATCCCAGACCTGACTGGAGCGCATGCAAAAGGCAACCAATTGATGTGTCTCTCTCACACCGATGTTTCTCTCTCTTCCTCTCCCTCCCTCCCTTCCACTCTTTCTAAAAAAAATCAATGGAAAAAAATCTCCTCAGGTAAGGATTAACAACAACAAAAAGGCTCCTTCATGTTGCCCATTTGTAGTCAAAATCTCCAACCCCTAACTCCTAGCAGCCATTGATCTGTTCTCCATTTCTATAGTTTTGCCTTTCACAGAGTGCCATGTAGGTGAAGTTAACATAGTATATAACATTTGCCAGGTTCCCCCCACCCAGATTTGTGGAGTTATAACTGATAACAGGATGTATAAGGTGTGTAGCATAATGATTTCATACACCTATGTATTGTGAAATGATTACCACAATAAGATTAATTAACCATTTGTGTGTGTGTGTGTGTGTTGAAAATATCTAAGATCTCTCTTAGCAATTTTCAAGTATATAATAATACAGCATTGTTAACTATAGTCAGCACCGCCAGGTATGAAAATGCACTATAATGCCTTCCTCTCCGTCTCCACTTTTTGCTTTTCACTCTAGACGTCAGCAACACGATCTGCTTGAAGTTGCCTGAATGAGCCTTGTTGTTTCTTGCCTCCATGTACCCCTTTTGCCCATCTCTCTATTCTCCCTTCCTTCAACTGGCTGACTGTCAATCATCCTGTAAGAAGCAGCTCAGGTGTCACCTTCTTCAGAAAGACTTTCATCTTCTCTTCTAAGCTGCACCCCTCCTTGGTGTTCACATAATGCATTCCCATTAATTTACTACTTTGTGTGACAATTATTGTTTGTCTCTGTTTATGCCCATTGTTTGTCAGTTCCGTTGGACTGGAATTGCTTTATCCTGTGTTACTAATGCAAACCTAGTACTAATACTTGGTAGACCCAAGTGTGGATTGAATCTGTTACATAGAATGATGATGACTAGCTTGTCTGCGAATTCTCTAATTTATTCCAATTCTTTCCCTGTCTAGTATCATCAGACAGCGTGCTGTATGTTCCACAAAAACTCTACAAGGAACTCTTCTCGGAAAATGGAGGACTCAGAAGCTTAATAAATAAGGAAATGCGCCGTGTCTCTCAAGGAATATTGATTTTTTCTCGAAGCTGGGCTGTGGATGTGGGTTTGCAAGAGAAGCAGGAAGTCATCTGTGATGTTCTTCTACTTTCCCAGAAAAAAATCCCAGTCCTCTACACCATCTTCAGAAAGGACGATGGCTGTTGGAAGGACTATACTATGAGAGTCGCCCGAACCTTAAAGCAGAAGCTGGTGAACACAGGTGGCTACACTGGAAAATTGTGCATCATTCCCAAGGCCTTCCTGCTGAATCCTGATAAAACAACAAAGGCCCTTCATGGTTCAGAATTGCCAAGTTACCCTCCGTCCTATTGCCGGATGACCACAGAGGACATGGAAGTTCTGCTGCAGTCCCTAGTGATAGTATTGTGTGGGTTCAGATCTTTGTTAAGTGAAGAGGTGGGCTGTGAGGTTTTGAATCTACTCACAGATAAGCAATATGAGGTGCTTTCAAAGAACCTTCGCAAGACCAGATTGCTGTTTGTGCATGGCTTACCTGGAACAGGGAAGACCGTCTTGGCTTTTAAGATCATAGAAAAGATCAGGAATGTGTTTCACTGTCAACCAGGTGACATTCTTTACATCTGTGAGAACAAGCCCCTGCAAGAATTCGTGAGGTATGTAGCCTGACTATATCCACTTTCTTTTCTTAAGTAAGTTCTGCTGGTGTGGCTTTGAGTTTACATGCTAAGATTCATATTGTATTTACTATGTCGAGATGAGTTTAAGAGTAAAATTGACTTCCTTTTGTTGATCGGGGAAACTTGACTGTGTTTCTTACATTTTCAGCCACAAAAACATCTGCCAGGCAGTGACCCGAAAAACCTTCATGAACAAAAACTCAAACTTTGAAAAGATTCAACACATCGTCATCGACGAAGCTCAGAATTTCCGCACTGAAAATGGGGACTGGTATAAGAAGGCAAAAACCATCGCTCAGAGAGGAAAAGATGGCCCTGGAATTCTCTGGATCTTTCTGGACTACTTTCAGACCAGTCACACAGACTGCTGTGGCCTCCCCAAGCTCGGAGACCAGTACCCAAGAGAAGAGCTTGTCAGAGTGGTCCGCAATGCAGACCCAATAGCCAACTACCTACAAGAAATAATGCGCGAAGTCCGAGAAAATCCACCACCTAACATCCCCTCCGAGTCCCTGAATATATTCAGTGAAGCTGAATGGTCTCGAGGTGTTCCAGGCAACTTAGAGATGAGTGAGCACAAGGATATAGAGCGAATGATGGATTATATAGCAGGAAAATGCCATTCACTTTTGAAGGCTGGATATTCCTGCAAGGATATTGCTGTGATTTGCAGCATAGCAAGTGATGTATACAAATATAAATCTAAGCTTCAAAGAGCAATAAGGAAGAGAAAAAGGCCTCAGTCCAGTGAGGAATCTCAGTCCAGTGAGGAATCTGATCAGTTAGTAGTAGAAAATGCATCAGCTATCATGGGCAAGCACATTGTATTTGACAGTGTCCGTCGATTTTCAGGCCTGGAAAGAAACATCGTGTTTGGGATCAACCCAAGGGCAGCTGAGCCAACTGTTTTGCACAATCTTATGCTCTGTTTGGCTTCCAGGGCAAGGAAACACCTGTATATTCTGAAGTTTTCCAACTGACAGGAAGATCCTAATCTAAGTAGCCTTCATCTCTGGTTAAGTGTGAAACTATGTGATTTAAACATTTAATCATCAAATATTTAATGAATACTCATCGTGAGCCAAGTGCTGGGGATTAGGGATAGGTTAGCAAACAAGACAGATAAGATTCACAGAGAGTAAAAAAATTCAAATACAAGAAATTTCAGATAGTAATAAAGGACACCAGAGTAGTAATTGGAGGGACCTGAGATACAGACATTGTGTGTGTGTGTGTGTGTGTGTGTGTGTGTGTGTGTGTGTATGTAGATAGGCAGGTAGATAGAAAGAGGGGTTGGTTATTTAGGATGGTCAGAGGAGTGCTCAGTGAGGGAAGTCATGAGAAAATCTCTGAGCTGTATGTGCCAGGCAGTCTCAGATATTTTCATTATTTTTATCAGCCCTGGTGCAGAAATGCTTGACTATGACCTGCTGGGAGGGTATGAGGAATGGAAACAGGTAGTATGTCTGGGCTCTTATTGGCCAGGAATGATTGTAGCATGTTTCAAAATGTATGATCAGAAGGTACAAATTACATTTGTTGTTGTTAATCCTTACCCAAGGATATTCTTTCCATTGATTTTTAGAGAGAGTGGAAGGGAGAAAGGGGGAGAGAAAGAGAGAAACATCAATGTGAGAGACACATCAATTGGTTGCCTCCAGCACAAGCCCTGACCCAGGGGCCTGGGATTGACCGGGAATTGAACCTGAGACCCGTTGGTGTGTGGGCCAACGCTCTAACCACTGAGCAAGCCAGCCAAGGCACAAATTATAATTTTTTGAAAGACCACATGCATTACTTTATTATATTCATTTTAATGGTGTTAGTATTTTTGAACACAATTTTTAAAAAAATTATGTGCTTCACACTTGAAATCTCAGCTCTTTAGCTCTGCTTTAATATTGTTCCTGTAAAGAATCTTAGGTTACTACTCGAAGGTAAGGTTGCCACAGTTGCTCAGGGAGACATACTGTGTGTGTGTGTTTTAATATTTCAATTAACTTTTTAGAGAAAAAGAAAGGGAGAGGGAGAAAGAAAGAGAAACATAGATGTGAGAGCAGAATATCAATAGGCTACCTCCTGCACGCTCCCCGCTGGGGATTGAGCCCAAAACCCGGGCCTGTGCCCTGCCTGGGAATTGAACTACAATCTTACGGTGCACATCCAACCAACTGAGCCACACGGGCCAGGGCCGTTTCTTTGTAGGCTTTTGTGTGTTTTTTCTTTTTTTAAATGTAAGAGTCCCTAAGAGGATGAATGTACTGAACTCAAGGTTACACTTTATTTTTCATTTAATTTAATAACCAATGAAATTGAAATAGCAATGTAAGAAGTATGAACTTGAAGCTAGCATTGGTTACTTCTGGCCGCTGGTCTCAATATTAAAATTTTTTAAAAAATATATTTTATTGATGTTTTACAGAGAGCAAGGGAGAGGGATAGAGAGTTAGAAACATCGATGAAAGAGAAGCATCTATCAGATCAGCTGCCTCCTGCACACCCCCCACTGGGGATGTGCCCACACCCAAGGTACATGCCCTTGACTGGAATCGAACCTGGGACCCTTTCAGTCCACAGGCCGATGCTCTATCCAGTGAGCCAAATCAGCTAGGGCACAATATTAAAATTTTAGAGACACGTCCATGGGAAAGCATGGAATTAATTTATTGTGAAATGATTTGCAGCTAACGTGGAATAAATTGCACATCACTTAGGATAGTATAGAAAGATACTTTTAAAATAAAATAAATATAAAAATTGACAATTCTTAATACAGAGCTAGATCAGTCAAGTTCATAGACTCTCTCTTTACCAATATCTAAAAGGAATAAAAAAAATTTTAGTAAAACTACAGCCAAAAGTTTACCATCAAGAGAGAAGCAAAGAATGGAGCTCAACCTCATGACATAAACATTCAATAAATGTGTAGTGCCAGGTAGTATAGAAGGGTCCCTTGTCTCTTTCACCCCCTTCCTAGGCCATTTAATTTTCATGTGATTGTTGCTATATTTAGGTTTTCATCTACCCTACTATGTTTGTTATTTTTCCATTTTTTTCTTTGTTTGTTTTTCCCCTTTTTTTTCTCTGCATCCTTTGACTTATTCGTACATTTTTTTAAATAATTACATTTTACCTTCTTTATTGGCTTGTTATAACGTTTTGGTTTGTTATTTTAGTTGTAGCCCTAGGGTTCACAGTATATATATTTTAAAAAATATTTTTAGTTACTTTTTTTAGAGAGAGAGGGAGAGAGAGAGAGAAATATCTGTGTGAGATTGAAACATTGATAGGCTGCCTCCTTGCACTCCCTCCACCCGGGATTGAGCCACAACGGAGGTATGTGCCCTGACCATGAATCAAACGGGCAACCTTTTGGTGCATGGCACAACCAACAGAGCCACACTGGCCAAGACCACAGTATACAGTATATCTTTAAACTTATCACAGTCTTCCTTCAAGTGTTATTATTCCACAACAGTACCAGTATACTTCCATCTTTTCTTTCCAAACCTTTGTGCTATTGTTGAGATATATTTTACTTCTATGTATGTTATAAATACCATAATATGTTGATATTATTTTTGCTTTAAGCAGCCACTTATCTTTTAAAGAGATTTAAATACTATGAAAAAAATTCTTTATACTTACCTATGTAGGACCATTTCTGGTGATTTTTATTCCTTTGTGTAAATCTAGATTTCCATTTTGCATGATTTTCCTTCTGCTCAAAGGAATTACTTTAACATTTCTAATACTGTAGGTCTGCTGCTGCTGAATTCATTCAGCTTTTGCATGTATGAAACAAAGTCTTTATTTCACCTTTGTTTTTGAAAGATAACTGCTGGGTGGAGGGCTAGGTTGATAGTTTTGTCTTTCAGTGAGTTAAATATGTTGCTCCATTGTCTTCTGTCTTGTTTCTTTCCCAGTGATAAATCTGCTGTCCTCCTCATCTTGTACCTCTGCACATAATGTGTCATTTTTCTGATTACTTTGAAGATTTTCTCTTTTTTTTATTATTGACTTAAGAAAAATAATTATGATGATTTTGGTAATTAAGAAAATTTCTGGTGGGAGCGAAACCAACGCCTGGCTCGGAGTAGCAGCAGCACCGCGGCTGCCGAGGGTGAGGCAGGGGCCGTGGGCCAGCGGGAGC